TCTATTCAAATTCAATAATATTGTATCTAGGTTGATGACATACATACTACTTGCCTTCTATGGCTCATTTGGTGTGATGGTATGTGCACTCGTGCCTATCTCTCTTAGTCGAGTCATAGCCTTGACAAAACCTCATCTCTCTATTTGGGTAAGCTCTTTGAATGGATTTTATCATTAAAAACTGAGATTCAAAATACCCAAAGTCAAGGGTCCACAGGTCCAAGGTCAAGAATAAATTGTTTTTTTGATATGTTAAGAATTACGAGAAAGAATTGAAAAAAAAAAAAACGAAATTGAATTCGAAATAAGAATGGTCATCCATCAGAAATACTGTGAAGGTGAGGTATGTGATTAACACCATCATTTCTCAAATCCCATATGCCGCACAGATTTTATTTTAAATTGAAATCTTTTTTGAGCAGAGCTCTATTTGGAAACCTTACAAACTAAAGTTTTTAAAAAGCAAATAACTATGGAACTAATATAACTCATTTAATCTTCCTTGACGTGATATTTGCAAAGTATAGTTGAGGAATTACATTTCTATGATTCTTGCAGCTGTTTTCTGGGCGCCGATCTCTCCTAGTTTGTGTTCTTTTCGATCTGGCACCCATCGCCCTTCTATTTGTGAGTTTTTCTTATGTGATACTATCTAAATAATATATCACAGGGAAATTTTATTACCAATTTGGAAAAGCTAAACGATGCTGGATTCCGTTCACTTGTTTTCGTCGTTGTTGCGTCATGAAGCAAAACCATTCCATAACTACTCTTTTTTTATGTGTTCTATTTATCATCGTTTGAAATCAACAATTCAAGAGAAACCATAATTTTTTGAGATGGTTGACATTCAATTACATATATCGCAGATGATTATGACAGTCGGCCGCCAGGAACGTGCCAGATGGTTGTACTTCTACGCGGGGCTCACAGTACTCTCCTATATTGTAGCGTTTCTTTCAAACTACATGGTATTTCGAATAGTTGGTAGGTGATTTCAGTTAGGGAAGTTTCACCTAACCCATTACTCTTCTATACCTTGCCTATTACAGCTCGACACATTCGAGTAGTTCAAAACTTGCGAGATCATGTTCGATTACTGGAAACACGGCAGATAGCGTTGGCTACGTTTGCGCAAGCTATAGTTCCTCTTATTTGTCAGGTTACTACTTATCATTCTTCTCAGCTTTATAGATAGATAAATCTATTAATAAGCTTTAGGTTCCGGCTTTTCTCACGATTTCTTCGTT